GGGGAGAAGCCATATCACTGCTCTATGTGTGGGAAGAGCTTCACCCAATACACCAACATGGTCCGGCACCAGCGCACCCACACAGGGTATAAGCCATACCAGTGCTCTACATGTGGGAAGAGCTTCACCCAGTCCTCCACTGTGGCCCGGCACCAGCGCACCCACACAGGGGAGATGCCATATCAGTGCTCTGAGTGTGGGAAGAGCTTCAGATATTCCTCCAATCTGGCCCAGCACCAATGCATTCACACGGGGGAGAAGCCATATCAGTGCTCTGAGTGTGGGAAGAGCTTCATTCATTCCGCTGAGCTGGCCCAGCACCAGCGCATTCACATGGGGGAGAAGCCATATCAGTGCTCTGAGTGTGAGAAGAGCTTCAGTGATTCCACCAACCTGACCAGGCACCAGCGCATCCACACAGGGGAGAAGCCATATCAGTGCTCTGAGTGTGGGAAGAGCTTCATTCGCTCTTCCTGCCTGGTCCAGCACCAGCATGTCCACACAGGGGAGAAGCCATAAAATGTTCTGAGTCTGGGAAGAATTTTCGCATCCTCTCCAGCTTGGTCCAGCACCAGCGCATGTACAAAGGGGAGAAGCCACATCATTGCTCTTAGTGTGGGAAGAGCTTCACCTACTCCTGCAGCCTGTGCTGAACACCAATGCATCTACACAGCGGAGAAGTTACATTGGTGCTCTGAGTATTGGAAAAGCTTCACCCATCTCTCCCACCCATCCTGGAATCAGCACATCCACACCCAGAAGCATCCCTAATTCTGCCAGCAGTGAAGGAAGGCCTTGGAGATGTCTGCGTGCTCAGCACCCACCAGTGGCTGCATTCAAACAAGCACCCTCATGCTGGTGGCCTGCGGAAGAGTTCCTCCAGGCTTTGTCTCTTGTAGGGTACAGTGGGAGTCCAGAACCCAGACGCTGGCCCCCAAGGTACGGGGGGGCGGGGCTTAGAGGAAACACTTCGGGAGGCAGAGATCAGCCTTGATGTGGGGGAAGGAGATGAGGAGGAGATGATCTTTGCATCAGCCTTGGAGCCTGTGCATTCCCCATCATTCTCTAAAAGTACTCCCAAGGGAAGAAGTGCCTTCACGCTAGGGTGCCCTCCCCCAGACAGCTGATGACACCCGGGGACCTTCCTTGGCTGCCTCCCAGCTTTCTCCTTCCTCCTAGTTCAGGGGTCCTGGTATATGAGCCCCTGAGTTGCAGGGAGGAGTGCATTTATGGCTGGGGAAGCATTCCCTATCCTCCTCCCTGACCTCACCTTTCCTCAGCACTACATCACCCCTCTTCCAGACCTGCCCATGCCCAGTGGGGTCTGCAATGATCTGCTTCTGCCACCTCCGGACCCTTTCTGGCCTGTTTTGCTTTTCAGCCTCTGCAGAACTGTGCACCACAGGGTGAGGGCTGCTCCCCTGCCCTCCTCCCCTTTGTTGTATTCTCTCTCATGCATTCCCTCCTATTAAAGCCCCAGAACTGGACATGCCACCTGTGGAAATAAATTGAACCAGACTCCTAACTTGACTAAGAAAAGAGACAGAGACCAGAGGTGCTGATACTGTGTATTTCAGAAAAATATTCTAAGACAAGAAAATCCTGCATGCCTTGTTTTCATCTTGTAATATTACCCTCTGTGCAGATGTTAGTGTTTTTTCTCTTTGAGAACCAGAAACTGATAACCGTTCCTGTAAGCACGTTTCCTGTTTCTTTAAGTAAACTGTCTGTGTGTCTGCGTGTGTCAGACCAGAGTTTTACTCCTATTTGTTTCTCTGAGGTCGTATTTTTTCTCTCTCTCGGTCTTGAGTATAAACATGCCTGTAAACTGATAGAGTTTGAGAATTCCTTTGAAACAGGCAAGTGGGTGATCCCCCTTGCTGTAGGGAATTCTCCCTGTGATCACGGTGTAGCCCTAAATAAAGAAAGGCTGGCTCTGTCAGTTCTGATTCAACCACAACGCGAAGTTTGATTTCTTCCACACACCCCTGTGGTTGATCTCTGTGTCCTCTCCCAAGGTGTGCAATGGGAACAGACCCAGGCCCACAACCCTTTCCAGGGCAGATCTCTCTGTGCCTTCCCAGCCCCTTCCCTTTCTAAATGATTCACCATAATCCAGAGGTTACTGGTAACCCTTGGGAGCAGGACGTGGTCTGATCTACCCACCCTGCTGCTGCCCGACTGGCTGCTCCCACCCGCTTCTGCCCTCTTCCCACAGCAGGAACCAGAGCTGGGTGAGCCAGCACCACAGGGTGACCAACCCTGGGCGAGCAACTCGAAACTGGCTGAATGGGTGCCCCAAGCCAGTCCCGTCTGCCCTGTTCCTGCCCTCACCCACCACAGCCACCCAACTGCAACAGAGGTGACTGTGGGAGTGTAGGGCAATCTGTGCATGGTGCCAGCTCCAGGGGGGTGTCTCCCCCCTTGGGAGAGCAGGTTCTCCACACTGCTGACAGCACCCCTGCCAGCGTCCCTGCAACATGCGGTGCTGGGGCAGGTATTAAGGTCAGGACAGGTGGTGTGTGCTGGGCCTGCGGTGAAGCATTGGGCACAGGCTGTCCAGCCACGCATGGGGGAATCAGGCTGAGTTTGTCCCCATCTGGGGGTTGCTGGGTTGCACTGCCAGTCCCTGCAGAATCAGGGGCAGGGCTGGAGCTGGGGGCATTACTGCCCGTGCCCTGTAGGGCAAGGGGCACCAGATGGGGTGGGGGGGCCTGCACTTACCTGATGCATATGCTGTTGTCTGTCCCACGTGGGATCTGTGTTCACGTGGGGCAGGTGTGAAGGGAACCAGGGTAGGTAGGAGTGATACCTCATTGCCCTGCAGGGGGCATAATCCTTGGGCGGGCACAACTCCACCTGGGATATGTATGAGGCACACCTACTGGGGGGGACAGGGGGTCCACACTTACCTGGGGCAGGTGTGATGGGGGCTGTAATGGGGCAGAGGATGTTATACCACCGTTGTGCAGCAGGGGGTGCTGTGGGGGTGCCTGTG